ACTCGCCGTGTCACAAACATTTGAAGAACTACCTTATTATCTTCCTGATGCTGAATGTCCCTTTTTTTTAAAACTCTGTGTCTCTCAACCTCTTGACCTATGCAAAGCAAACAAATCACCATGAGACAAAGAAACAAAGAAAAGAAACTGAAAATGTCATCAACTCTGACTTGACTCTTGGACTGAAAAAAAGGGGGGACTTGGCAAATAAAACAAAGGCACTGACAAAAGGAGAGAGACTGAAAAATGGCTTTGGACAATGAGAAACACTAAATCTGTTGCTTTTCCACGTTTCGCTCATATGTAAACTGACACATACATCCAGAGCTGCACACATAGCAGTCAAAGACAAAGGCAAGCGCAGTCGTGCTTCTCTCTGGCTCTGCTTTTGAGAGAAGCAGAAAGAGGGAGAGCAGCAGCAGCTGCTGGGGGGTTGGACAGAGCCAGCTCCAGCGCCACACAGACGGATCACTCTGGAAAGAACGCTTCACTTGTGCTCGTTTGTTGAGTTGTCACATTTTAATCCCCGGCCGAGCCCTTTGGGAACCAACTTTAACCCCCACCCCCACCCCACTCGACTCGTCCTCCACCCCGGTCATTCAGCACTGCCCCCGTCAGCATTTCCACCTCTGTGCTGCTGTAGTCAGGTACGCACTCACAAACACTTTCACCAAAGCCACCCCGACAACTGGCCTGCCTCATGTCTGTCAAGAACACCAGGTGGGGTGGGAGGATGTGGGTTTCCTCTTTGACGTCGTGTTGGTCTCTCTTAAATGTGCCTTACATTTTTACTGCTATTTAAGAGAGAAAAAAACTTAAAAAAAAAAAAAGAGAGAGATAAATCTACTATTTAAGATATTTATTTTTGAGGGTTGACTATGTTGACACTCTGAGAGTAGAGACTTAGTGGCGGTACTGTATTAATAATATGATGTACTCATCTCAAGGCATATATAAGTTATTGATTAGTTTTATTATCATTATTATCATTATTATTATTAATAATAACATAATCAACCAAAATGTTGATATAGGAGTTATTTAAAAATGTGCACTGTACTTCTATTTTTTATCTTTTTTGATTCTTCGGAACATGACATTAAATATCAGCTTCATGCCTTTTTGTATGGAAGAACTTTATTTAAATGCAGGTCTCCTTGCATGCAGACAGTACTCTGCCTCTTCTATGTTTAGAGAAGAGGAAAAACTAATCTTTTTTGTTCTTTTTGGTAAAAAGAAGCAAAAAAAAGCTGCTTTTCTCTACTAGAATGTATAGCTGTTGTCGAGGTTTCAGTAGCTGTGCTCTTTTTTTGCTTCATATTCATCAGATGGGCAATTTTACACTGTTGGGAATTTTTATACTTGAACTCTTTCTTACAAGGGAAATAAAATAAACAACAAAAAAAAGTTTAATGAAGCTTTTCATTGTCACTGGATGAGGGCATGTAAAGTGTTATTATTAAATGCAAAGGTCCTGTTGATATTAAAACCTTTACTTCAGAATATCAACTTAATTTTCTCAAATTGGAATAAAATGTTCGATATTTAAAAAGGCTGCTTGTCTTTTGTTTACAGAAACACATACTGTGGTTACTGGTCTTTCTCCACAAATACACCTCAGTCTACTGTTAACAGATTTCTGCTTTGATATGTATGAAAATCCAGAGTTGGTTATAAACAAAAGAATATGATTGGCGTGCATGCCGGGGGGAGTGGTCAGGGAGTGTGACTACAGGCTGCTTAGTAAACAATGAAACCGTCAATAAGTAAAATGCTAATGCTAATGCAAATTTGCTATCATTTAAGTGTGATAGGAAATAAATGTACACTTTTTAAATAATGGTGCTGAACAGCTACCCCTGTTCTACAGTGTGATTTGACAAGACATAAACCTATTAACTTCTCTATTAACTTCTCATTACTGATGAAGATTGACAACAGTTGGTAGTTTCTCTTTGCCAGAAACAAAAGAATTTGTTTGACAGTGCTCACTGGACCCAGGGCAATACTCTATGTGAAAGACCCCAGTTTGGGTTCAAACCAGTAACTCTCTTTCTGGGAGCTTAAGCTGCCCAATAACCCTTTAGCCTGAACCATGAAATAATTGCCACAGAATTCTATTTTTTGAAAATGGATTGTTTATTTATCCTTTTGACAAATAAAATAAAAATAATTCAATATTAATTACATTAGATATTATATATATTATATTTTAGTATTGATTGTATTTTATTTAGCATGTAATTGTATTGTAATCTATTTCTTAAAAATGAAATATACAATTTATTTTGGTTTATGGGCCCCTTTTCCATTAGTACCTACTTGGAACGACTCAGACCTGCTCAACACAGCTTTCCGGGGCGATCGTGGCTCAAGAGTTGGTAGTTCATCTTGTAATTGGAAGGTTGCCGGTTCGAGCCCCGGCTCCAACAGTCTCGGTCGTTGTGTCCTTGGGCAAGACACGTCACCTGTTGCCTACAGGTGAAGTGGTCAGAGTCCGGCAGCTTCGCCTCTGTCAGTTCGCCCCAGGGCAGCTGTGGCTTACCATCACCAGTGTGTGAATGGGTGTATGACTGAATGTAGTGTAAAGCGCTTTGGGGTCCTTAGCGACTAAGTAAAAGCTCAATACAAATACAGACCCCACTGTCGCCAAGTGCTTGCTAATAGGGGTCATTGGATTATTGGGGTTTCCTCTGTATTATTGTAGGGTCTTTACAATATAAAGCACCTTGAGGTGACTGTTGTTGTGATTTTCGTGCTATATAAATAAAACTGAATTAAATTAAGATGGGTTAGTGAAGAGCACCCTTGTCAAACTAAATAGAAGCAGCTGTGTCCATGTCCAAACCAAGAAGGTCTTTCAAATGAGGCCACTGCCATGAAAGGTTATGAAATGAAAACAAAGTTGACCATGGATATTTAAAAAAAACAAAACCCTGTTATAAACATAAGAATAACAAAATTATATTTTTTAACAAGTTTTCATAATTTCTGAAATGATTGTGAAAAATTGTGTTTATTTATGTTTGAACATAAATATGTGACTCTGTAAGTCTGAGTGTGCGTGGTCCCACATGAAACACGTTATGAAACACTGGAGTTAGTCACGCCCAGATTGAGTAACCATGGATACTAATCAAGTCGAGGCCTATCAATGATTAATCCCTGCTCTAATCAATAAGTCATGTTAAGAAGAGTTAGCTGCTCGCTTTCTGACGTCTTTCATTCTACTCAGAGGAGCATTTTGGTCGCCACTGAAACATGAAACTGGGTCACATTGCTGTGAGTGTTGACCGTGACACAGCATGGACGCAGCAAGGCCTTATGGGTAAAATCAGTAGCACCTGACATCATGCCGTAACAAGATTAAAGCTGTTACTTTATTAAAAAAGGATGATCCACAGCTGCAACCCTCCTCTAGCTGGAGTTTGAAATGGCCTCAGAGTTTAGGTTGACAGAAGGGACTGCTCTGTGAAAACAGATGGAGGTTTTATGTCTTGCGGGTAGAGGTGCTCCTTAAAGTGTTGATGCTTTCTTATTAGAAACTTTAAGACAACTTGTTAAAAATACCTACACTGGGGAAAAAAACTAAAGAAAGAGTCACAGAAGGAGTGGCAAGCTTTCAAACGATTAAAGAAATCTGTAGTTTTTGCTTGTAGAGAATGTTGTGTAGTCTGGCTCGTATATCCCCTTTTTACTCAGTTTGAGCTTTCAGAGCACTTTCTCCTACAAGTTTCATTCACCCAATCACACACAATCAAACAGGGCTTGTATTTATACCTAAGCACTTTTTAAAATAAGATTCATGCTCACATATTCACACTCCGATGGATACACAGGGAACAACTAAGTGTTCAGGATCTGGACCTGCTTCTAACTTATGCCCTGGATAACTCTGAAGACTCAGTGTTGTTGCACATTCTCAAGATTGTTTATTAATCTTTTTAAATTATTTGTCTGTGTCTAAAGCTTCCTGTGCTGTTTTGTTTATATTAGTCTAAACTTTGTGTGAAGTGGCTAACTTCACCACCAACAATATTCAGCAGTGCTGAAATTGTAGCTTTTGAGAATTACCTCAGAACATGTCAGCTAGCTTACTGGAAACTTCTAACTACACTCAGCCTCACTGATTCCTAGATGCTACACCACACTGTTACCATACTGTTTATAAAAGATGGCTGTAGATGGGCATTCATTAGAAAAGTCCCATTATGAAACCTCAAGCTGTGCATTTACATGGCCCCTGCCTTGTTGTTTTGAAATTTGTGGTGTGCAAGGTGCAGATGACAAGGTAAGCCTGTCCGAAACCATACTTGGCTTTATCCTCTTGTCCTCTATTACTATAATGCTGACTCTCATTTACAAGTAAACCCCTGCTGTCAGTTAGAGAGAATGCAGATTTGAAACACTTCTACTCTGGCTTTGCTTTTCAGACCTGAGGCGTCAAGGAAGGAAGTTCACCACCATCAGGCTTTCTTTGCATTAGCTGGCTCAATGGGTATCACTGAAACGCTGAACAGGACCTGCTCTTGATTAGGAAATGCGCTTGTTGTAAGTTGCCATGGTGATTTAACCAGGTAAAAAGATAGGCACTTTCATGACACAGAAACTCTGACTTTGTGCCCATCTTTTATATACAGTCTATGACTGCAACAGACCGGCGTATGTCTGCTATTCTTGGACCTCAGTGGGGTTAAAAATAGGGTTTGGTGTCTGTTTACCTTGGGGAACTGAGGGAGTATTTACGTTAAAAGTAGAAAACTAAAGGGCAGCTTTAAACCTTTAACTGATTTTGGAGTTATTGTTGTGACGTGTATTCGTTTAGGGATTTAAAATGTTGAAAATTTGCAGTCTTAAATTTTAAAGGTCAGCGAAGGGGTAAAACTTCATTTCATTCCCATGCACTATGAATATGATGATGATGACTGCCCAGCTTGTAAAAGGCCATTCCCTCAAAAGAGCCCCATGCCGGCATCGCCACAGCACCAATCACTTGTCTATTTTTAGCAGAGCTCTCCGAGGCTGCCATGTTGTCTGCGAGGCAAACGTCTCTCCCCCGGAGCAGAGAGGCACTGAGTCACGGTCCTGGTCTCTGCAGCTGTGCGGCTCTCAGGTTCAACGTGTTGCTTAATTAGGACATCCCGGAAGAGGAGCCGGTGCAGCGCGCAGCTGAGTGACGGGGCAGGGGAGCAGGAGGGGACCGCAAGACAGCAGCGAACTGCCACGAATCCGTCCCGGCGTAATCACACCCCTAAAGATCCGGACAGAAATTTACCGCGGACCAGACCAGGGAGGTAAGATGCTTTTAGAGGATGTACTGATGATTTTTTTTAACCAGTGTCAAGTTCAGTTCGTTTCAGTGTGGGGCGGAGGGATGGAGCCCCGGGGTGGGGGTGCGCATCCCTACGCAATAATAATGTCCAGACAAATTGATCCCGTGCAGCCTGCTTTCGTATGTTATGGCAGGGCATGTGAGAGCACTGTTTGTCACCTCCTTTATCTCGATCGCTGCGGGGAGTAACATTATTGCGGCGCGGAATATGAAGCATCAGACTGAAGGACGGGTGAAGTCCTGTGAGCCGGTGCCATGTCATGTTTTATTATGGAGTGATGGTGTCTTCTCGTGTTTACACAGAGAGGGTTCATTTTGCAGCTGTGATAAACCAGTGTGAGTTTAAACAGCCCAGTAATTTTTTAGGATCACATATGCTGTGCCCCAGAAACAACAGGGCGCTAATACGGCAACTAAACCTTTAAACCGACTTGGACAAGACTCATATGCTTTCATATTTTAAATTGATTCAGCTTTTTCTCAAAGATCTATCAGCACACTCCCAGCCTCTGAGTTACATATCTCTTTATTAACCTCATATAGATAATCCAAATTATTATTACATAAATAGTAATATTCTTAATCATAACAGCCAAACCTTTCACCATCAACTCCCACTGATCACATCACAGCTTCCCACATCAGTAGGTGGATGAAGAGTTGCAGCAGATGAACAATCAAAGTGTCTCCGAGTGCAGGACCCAGGCCCACAGTGGAATATCTTACAGTAGGCCCATAACAGCAGGAGCCAGACTGCTTCCCAATATAGCCACAAAGATCAGATACCAGGCCGGGGGGTTCAGGAGGCACATGCAGAGTCAGGGTGAAGTCCCTAAAATCTTTCCACTGCATGTGCTGCTGGTTTTGCTGTGGAGTGTTTGTGTTGCTGGCCAACCCGACACCTGCTGACACTTAACTGCCCATAAACTAAACACTCCACATTTTGCACATTTGGACCTCTTTTAATGCTTCACAGGCTGATTCTATCACCTTATAATCACATATCACTCAGTATAGGCAGTATATAGTCCATTCATTCTTTTTTTTTCTTATCTGTTGTTTTCATGCATCATTTGGCATTTGTAGTTTGTGTATTCTTTGCTTTGTTTGTATTTTCACAAGTCTGCTACTATAACAACATATTTTTCTCTCCAGGATAAATAAAGTTAACTGTCTTTATGTCTATTATTAAGGAGACTGAGGTAACGGCTATTTGTTGGAAATTACAGACACGTTAAAAACAGTACTGCCACATTTTCATGCCACAGAGATGTATCTCTGATACAGCCAGCAGGCTTAACCCCGAGGCTTCCTCCCATTAGGTCTTTGTGTTAGACTGAATGCATTCCAGTAAGTCCATATGAAAAGCCTAAAAGAGCATCATTGGCCATGTCTTTGCATTGCCATGGAGAATTTGGACAAGTGACAATAAAATCAGAACAGAGGCTGAGTGTCTTTGCTTCAGTCTTCATAGGCAAAATTTGAGGTTGTTGACAAGCGAGACAGTGATGAAGTGTTTTGGATTTGAAATAGTACAGTAGTTGATTTTTTTGCACTCTACTGAATTTAAATTTGAACTTTTTGCTCTATCCTCAAACCCAGACAAACCCAGTCAAACCCAGGCATTATGTATTATAATAATCGTTCTATCTTTGAGTTATGTCAGTATTTAAAGATTATTTTTGCTGGAACCATCACATTTGACTTGGCTCTGAAGATCAACTTCAATTGTTTCAGCTCTAATAAAATCACATCTACTTTTATGGCAAAAGATTTTCAAATCTAAACATACAGTCGTTATGGTGTGTTCACAGAGTACAAGCAACAGGTATCAAGTCTACCAGATGAAATATAAAAGCAGGTGTTACAAAACTTTCTGGGGCCAGAGACTTTTTAAAGGAAAGACTTATTTTTAAGAAATCGCTCATATCACTAATCCTCATATCCTCATGCAACAGTCTGATCTGTGTCACAAATCGCCGTGCTCACCAGCCTACGAGTCTGGCTAATATCCGAAGCTGTAAGAATGGTTCCCTTCCCAATGAGAGGAGTGATCTTATGATAGATCGAAGTGATGATATGACATGCTTGTTTTGCTGAGTTAAACGGTCTATATATGATCCCCTGTATATATAATAAAAACACAATTTCATGAGCTATGGTGCATTTTGCAGAGCCACTCGGGAGATCTGCAGACCTCACTGGATAAAGGGTGACAGGTCTGCACACTAGCTGACAATTTGCAAATATTGTGTATTTTTTATTTGTATTTTTTTGATTAATGTTTAATATAAAGTTTTGTTTTGCAATCCCACTTGGATCAGACCCTCGAGACCAGAAGTTGGTACCAAAGTACAAACTGATAAGAATATTTTCGACTCATTGCTCAAACTTTAAGTGTCCTGCTTCAGAGAACACAAACGCTTGTTGCAAACCGAGACTCTGCTCTCCAGGTTTCTGGTCTTGCCTAAGAGCTGCTGTGACCCACAGAGCAGAAATAACCTCTGAGTCCTGAAACAGGAATTTGGCACTGCTGGGAGATTTCTCCAGAGAGATTCGATGACGCCCATCAGGACATGTTTGCTGCTCACAGGACATAATTAGTAGACATAATTTACAAAGATTACAGACAGCGAATGCTATTCAGCCAACATAGCTGCCATATTATTGGAGAGTGTTTCCGAGCGTTTCTGTAGATCGTTTTTGTAAAGCAAACAGAGCCGTCTATAACTCACACCCCTGGATTGCGTGTTGGACACCCAGGTAAATAGCAGGTGTCAGATTAGGAAGCATGTGTTACCTAGCAGTGGTTTGCGTAAACATGCAGCGGGTGGCTGGATTGAGTTCCTCCTCTGTTGACTAATATATGTTGGAAACAGGCCTGCATCGCTTCATAGTGAGACATATGGCTGGTCAGTGTGACAAAGTGGTCTGTGGAGTATTCTCGAATGTATTTCAGCGGTGCTCAGTTACTGTTTGTTTACCTCTGTCCAACAGCCAGAAACATGTGAATTTATGCAAATATGTTTCTACACTTTAAGTTTCCATAGACTAAAACAGAAAGCAGGTCTTCCCGTTGTATATATCTTGTCCTTCTGGGGTTGATGTTGATCGTTACAGAGCAAAAACGTCCAATATCGATACATCAGTCCATATTTTATGCAAAATATAGACATTCATAAAGGAAAAGGGAAATATTCTCAGTTCCTGCATCTTCAAAAAATCATGGTCTACATGGTCTGTGCTCAAGAGTGAGGCTGGTGTAGGTGCATCATTAGCTACCATGCACAGAAGTCAGCAGGGAAAAAGGCTACTGTCATATCCTTAAAACAGAGCCATGCATGAAACAGAGACAATATCAGACAACAGCATCTTACTTGGACGAGGACCTGAGATGGTTTGAACAAGTGTAGAGGAGGGATAGTGGATGTGCTGGACAAAGGATGCTGAACACGGAGCTGCCAGGAAGGAGGAAAAAACCAAGGCTGCAGAGAAGATTCATGGATGTAGTGAGAAGGACATGCAGATGGTTGGATGTGACAGAGGAGGATGCTAAGTATAGGGTGAGATGGAGGCAGATGATCTGCTGTGGAGAACCCTAGGGGGAGCAGCTGAAAGAAGAAGTTGCGCGACGATAGATGAGCTTTTAGAGATGACCTTTTATTCATTTATTTGCACACGCTATAACAAAAAGACAAAAAAAAAGGACAAAATTATTACACAAAAAAGAAAGATTCAAATTACTAAAGCGCCCAAAGATAAGCAAATAACCATAAATAAACTGTATATTTAATCAAAGAATCCACTTCATTGTTTGACTTTTCTCTCAGTCTGGCATCAGTATCTGCCTTTCTTCATCCCGATTAGGTGACACTTTGAAATTGTTCTGACCCAGGCTGTGACTGTGGCAGTGAGCCAGACACCTCATACAGTGACATTATTTATACAAGGCGTGCTGCACATAGCTAAATTTAGTGTTGATGAAAATCAGGAGCAGCACAGTGAGAAGGTTGAATAGTGACAAACATCACCAAATAAAACAAAAAGAATGATTATAAATGAATTGCAATGATTTCAGCTGTCATCATGTGACAGCAGCAGCGGCCATGAGTAAGAATCCGTAGCTGCTCTTGTTTTCCAGGTTTGTCTTCATGGAAGGATTAATGCAGCGCCTGGAGCGAGCTGTGACTCGCCTCGAGCAGATGTCAGCGCAGGCGTCCAGCGGGATGGCCAACGGGGACTGTGTCAACGGCATTGATGGAGGCAAGTCTGTTAAACTTGCATTTGGAGGATTCAATTAAGACAAGCAAGCAAGTTAGCAGGATTTCACTGTATTTTTCCAGGTCTGTCTCAGTGCGTGGAGGCCTTCGACGTGCTGATGAGTGGCCCGGTGTCAGACTACCTGAACAACAGCCGCGCCATAGGGAGCGAGGTGGAGAAGCATGTAAGGCTTCACCCACTAAAATCTAAAGTCTCACATATGCTACCCTACGAATATAAAATCACTTGTAGGCACTGTCCATGCATCAGCTGCTGCAGACAGATGTTTCTGCAGCTGCTGCTGCAGCAGTCTTCTCTTACAATGTAGCAGGTCTCTCATTCTGCTGTTTGTCAAACCGATCATGATTTAAAGGGGCATTCCCTAAACCTCATACTGAATTCAGCTCATGCTTTATAAGGAGCATATATTTATCCTCAGAGTGTCAGCGGGGCTTTTTAAGCCTCTTGCTCTTGTTAAAGAACATTATTTTTTCATTAACATGGCTTTGGGAAAGCTTTGTTGTGAAGTAGTTCACAAAAAAATACTATAACATTTGAAAGGTTAGCTTTATACTTTGGGACATGTTTAGTTTCTTGCTTGCTTCTCAAGCCAAGACACTCATCAAGACATTTAACGCTGTATAATTAAGATGACGTATTTGGTTTTTGCCATAAAGATGTGAGACCGTTGTCTGTTGTTTGGCTTTCCCTAACAAAAGATCAGACTGTTCGTAAATGAGCGTCTAATTTTGTGCCTGATATATTTATCTATAAACTAAGCTGTGCAAAGGAAGAAGAGCTCTCTGCAAAGGGAGCACTGCTGAAAAGAGGAGAGCCACCACAGATTTTCATTCTCTGCCAACCTTTATCTCATTGGACACACATTTATAAACACAGGATTGTCCCACTCTAGATTCCACTTAGATAGGCAAAGCTGTATGGGAGGTCCGTGGTCCCAAAGAAGGCAGACAACATGTCCGTGTGTGTGTGTGTTTCCTGTCCTTAACAAAGCCAAGGATGGGAGTATGATTGATCTTTGACCTTACATTCATTTATCAAACTGTTAGTGGAGGACCTTTTCCTATTTGGTAATGACCTCTACTCCCCGTAGGACCAGGACGTGTTTTATGGTATGCCAGTTGGCAATAATAGCTGTGTTACGTCCTTGGAATGAATCCAGAACAACAAAAAGCCTCCAAAACAGACGTGTAAAGGTACTCAGCAATGCCTGAATTTCCTCTGTGCCTTGAAAGATGGTTTCCATCTCTGTGTCCCATCACTGAACACGATGGAGGGTGTGTGTGTGTGTGTGTGTGTGTGAGAGAGAGAGAGAGAGAGAGAGAGAGAGCCAGAGGTAGTTTCTTCAAGTTTGTAAAGCTCCTTTTATGGAAAAAGCCTCCCCGGTGGTTCCCTTGGCCTGCAAATGGACCTCTCACACACACACAGAGGACACGGTTGGCTGGGAATAACCCAAACTAAGCGATTGAGAGTGTGTGTTTGTGTGTGTGTATATAAGTTAGACATAGTCATTAGAGTGTTTGCCTGGATTTCTGCAGGGACTGCTCAGATTGTTCATGTTTTCTGCATGGTGAACAATCTGTGAAGACAAGCACTCATCAAGTATAACATAATGTATTATGAGATCAGTCCTAACATTTACACTTTGTGACTGACAGGCAGAGATGGTGATGAACGCCTTACAGACTCAGAGAGCTTTCATCAAGATGGCTGCCACACACCAGGAACCAGCGCAGGTACGACAGGAGGACATTAAAAGGGAAACCTGCACTGATGATGTCACAGTGTAACCTCAGAAGCTGTGGAATGGTTTTTGGGGGGTTGTTTTGTTTTGGGGGTTTTTTATGGGCACTGGGTAATCATAATATAATTTGTCTTATATAAAGATCTCATTAAACTTGTAAAACACAACTGAAAACATGAGCTAAAATGAACTGGCTTATGGAGTCGGGACATATTATGCATCATTATTAATCGTATGTCACCGATTTCAATCTTTCACAAAACAGTACGATTTTATTTATAAAGCACCAAAAATAACAACAACAGTCACCTCAAAGTGCTTTATATGGTTAGGTAAGGACAATACAATAGTGCAGTGTTTTCTGTCTGATCAGCTGTTAAATAATATTTGATGAACTACAACAAAAACTACAAGTGTGGTTATGCACCCTGATTATTTAATAGCATATGGCATCTGTCCTTTTTATTCGTTCACAGGTTGCAGCCGGTCTGGTTTAACTCTGTCAGCTTGTTTAAAACTAAAATAATCCCACAGAGGTGATTTTATTTTATTTTTTCCGAGAAGCTCTTACACGACAATCACCTAAGGACAGGAGACTGAAGCTAGAATTTACACGAGCTCACAAACGTTGGGCCGTAGAAGTGTAGCCTGGTCTGATGAGTCTCATTTTCTGTTGTGACAGCCAGATGGTAGAGTCAGGATTTGGCATAAATAACATGAAAGCATGGATCCATCCCGCCTTGTATCAACAGTTGGGGCAGCTGGTGGTGTATTGGTGTGGGGGATACTTTTCTGGCACACTTTTGGACCTCTTAGTACCAACTGAACATCATATAAACATGTCTGTGTGGGTTGTAGACATCCAGATCTTGGTAGTCTAAGGAGCTTGGAAAGAAAGTGACTGGACTTCTTTAAGCTTGAGATGTTTCATGTCTCATCTGAGAAGCTTCTTCAGTTCTAAGACCAAATGTTGGAGAGTCCCATGTGTTTAAACCTTAGTGGGGATTGTCCCTTAAGAGGGTCATTGACTTACATTATTAATGATTTGCCTCATAACATGAGGCAAGGTGGAAAAAAGGCAGTTCTGAAGGGAAGGCCAACCACGTACTAGCGAGGTGTACCTAATGAAATGGACAATGATATATGGTGGAAAGCTGTCCACATACAAAAGGTAGGTTAGACAATCAGGAAGTAGGGAAGACAGGGGAAAACAAGGCATCATTACAGGGAAAGACAAAAACAAAGAAGATGAACAAGGAAAAGTCATTTCTATAAAAAATCAGGAGGCCAAAGAAAGAGGATGGCAAAGACAGGAAAACCCCAGGAACTCAAAACAGAAACCAAAACTAAATAATATCGCAACAAGTACCACTCAACATCACAAAAAGATGGCTCCATGAAACCTAACCTGATATGACAGAGCAGTTCAGTGCTGTTGTCTTAGCAACGTATATCAGGTTTATTGGCCATCGTGTTGTTAGAGAAACACCAGTCATGGCCTCCCTGCCATCATTATTTTTCACTGTATCCTCTTTATTGTCTTTAGAGCCTGTCCGAATGTGACACAAACAGTGTTACCATGTGACTGGATTCCATGACTGCGATTGGCTGTTTGTGTTTCAGCTCCCAGCTGAGCCACACAAAACCTGCTGAAGCGTGGTGCAGCTCTCATGACTTTAACGGCCAAATTGCATCAAATTACAGCAGCAGCCTAACAGAGAGATGAGCTGGGCCTCAGTCCTCTGTAACGGTCTGACCCATGTGTTTCCCAGCAGGCCCGTCTGTTCACAGAGGGATTACTCTGCTCTTTGACCAAGAAAATGCTAATACAACACATTCCCAACATGTTCACGTATAGAGAGCAGAGGGGTGGGAGAGATGTCTGTGTCTGTGTGTGAGAGAATGATATCATCCCGTTGGCCTTCTGCTTGTGTTGTATGTGTGTGTGTGTGTGTGTGTTACAGGGTCCACAGAGCCCACCAGGAAGTGATTACTCCCGATCTGTCAGGTCATTGGTTGAGAGGCTGTGAAACGAGCATTCAGAGATAGTCAGAAATGCAAACAAGGAAAGAGTGAGAGAGAGAGGGGGACTAACCCAGGAGAGGGGTGGGCTGATAGAGAGGAGAGACACATTCAGCATCACAACGAAACTCAAAACAAAACACGGAAAACGGGGAAATGGTGGCTCAAGAGCTGCTACCAACGCCCTGATCCAACCACATAATGGCCAATGAAAGCTTCTTTCATTGTCTTTTTGAATGTGCAGCATGAGCAAAAACTTCACACCCTCATGTTGTAACCCAGTTAAAACCGAGAGCAATAAAACATAAATTAAAACTGAGTTAGGTAAAACCGCACACCTTTGGGGTCTGTTTTTACAGACAGGCGTTCAGGTTTCACAAGAAAAGCTGGTAAAATTTGGAACCTAAAGACCTGAAGCTTGCATGAAAACTGTAATGTAGTTTTCAAATGTTCAGATGTTAATCTGCATTCATATCATGCAGGATGAATAGGAATAAAAAGACACTTCTGTTTATAACCTTTAAAACAGGTTGAACAGCAGATATTGTTCAATAGAACATGCCCTCCCTGGTTTAACTGTCATAGATGCCAGTTTAGGTTTGAATTTATAAGCCTGATTTAAGCTTTCTACCTTAGCATGAAACGGTTTCCTTTGCACAGTCCTAAAAACCTTTCAGTGCACAACCAAACACCAAAAACAAAAATACTCCCCCAAGTACAAAACTCTCTTCAGAAATCTCTCACAGCTTTCCGCAGTCAGGTCTATATCTGTAGCTCTCAGCACAGATAGAGAAAAGTGTGTAACTCTGGGCAGTGCCCCTTTTCTATCCACACGCATACACACACACACACACTGACATGCGCACACACATATCTCCAAAACTTCTGGCCTTCCTCCACAGCGCAGCTCTGTTGTGCTCTCTGACTTTTTATGGGCATGTTCTATATTTGAGCCTGTTGTTGGTGTGTGTGTGTGTGTGTGTGTGTGTGTGTGTGTGTGTTGTGTGTGTTTGTGTGTGTGTGTGTGTGTGTGTGTGTGTGTGTGTGTGTGTGTGTGTGTGTGTGTCAGTTAGAGTCGAGTGTTAGACAAAGAGAGAAAGAGTCAGAGAAAGTAGGCATCTCACTCTTTCAATGCCCTCATCCATAGCCACAGGTATGTGTGTGTGTGTGTGTGTGTGTGTGTGTGTGTGTGTGTGTGTGTGTACTGCTGGTCCCGGCAGTTCACACATGGTTTTCTGCCTTTGATGCAGCGCTTGTGTAGGAAGTCAAGTCCTGTGCTGTTATAACGCACTGAGCTCAGCCAAACACATGATGTGAGCTGACGTTTTTTATCCTTTTTGCCGGATTGTTCTCGGCACTGAAAGAAGCAAAAAGCTCAAAAATCTGATAGATGGCAATAATGATTCAGTACACTCAGCTGAGCTTGTCAATAACTCTTTTGTCAGTGTGTTGATAGCTCAACAGTAAACAACAAAAGTGGAAATGAATCAATTAGCTGCTCTAATACATCTCGCCAGCACGTGAACCTTCCTACAGCTGGGATGTGAGTGCAGGCGCTTCTTTTTTGCAGAAACTTCTCCAGGCTTTGTAAAAGTTTGCAGTTCTTCAGCTGGTAAACGACTAACGTGTACGGCAAGTCATTCTCTCTCACCCCTCTGTGTCCGGGAATTCTCAGAGCGAACTGTTTGCATGCAAACGAACCAACGAAGACTGACTCTGTGCCACTTCCTTCTGAAGCGGCCACAGTGAAGTCATCAAAGGGAGGTGTGCAGGAACCAGAAGGTGGAAAACAGGCCAGAAAACTAGTGCATCCACATGCAAACAAACACAGAAAACTGGGAAATGTGACTGTAGAGGCAGAGGACAAAAAACAGCAAATGACACATCTGCATGGCAAGGACCATGACACTGGGTTGGGGGTGTGATACACTTCGGACAGGTCATCATTAAATATGTGATCATATAACACAACAGTTTTAACACTCTTAAAGAGGCTGTCCTTATGAACATATACATAAACATATTTTTTACTCCCTAAGATCCTGCTTACTTATATGGGTGCATTACAGTTGGATTTTTCTGCACGTTATACTCTGCTCGTCACAGACTTATTGCACCTCATGCATCCCGAACAAGAGCTCAGATCTCAGCAGGGTAAAGTCAGATGTTTTTCCTCATAAATTTGTATTAAATGAGTAATTGCTCGCCTTTAAATACTGGCAATAGAGATAACAGATTAGTAATGGAAGGAATTACTACAGGGAAAGGTAATGGAAAAAGTTACGCCTTAGGGAGGCAAACTTCACCCCTCAAATCTTGCTTGCTACCTTAAATTTGTCCTACATGCTCACTCTTAAGCACGGCCTATTTGCTGCAGTAAAGAGGTGATGTATTGCTTCAAAGACAGCCATTAGGTGGACTTAGAGGGAATAAAAGCAGCTGGAGGAGCAGAGAAAGGGGCGTCTGTCTGTGCTTATGAAGATCATGTGCGTCTGATCAGGGGAAGAATTTGTTGGGAAATAAAGTTTAGTGCTGTTTTTGTTGCTCTCCTGCTCTCAAACATAAAACTACTAAACCTGATGCACATGAATAGATTTTCATTTCAAGCATCACCTCTTGCTCACGTCTAGGTGATGCATGTATCAGGAGCACCGCTGCAGCTTAACCGATCACTGCCAGCTCCTCCTGATTGTTCATCAGCTTCCTCCTGTCACAGCTCATTAGCTCCATATGTTCTACATTACACTCATTTCACAGCAGATCAGAACATGTAAGCAAGTAGCAGCTATTTGCCAGTGAAACGCTGTGTTCCTGTACTTCTGTGAGCGCGGGTGCATGTGTAATTGATAAACTGTAAACATTGGAGAAACGGTATGCCTTACAAGGCCACAGGGATCTCCCCATGAACTGAGGAATGTTTTCAGGCTCGGAGCAATGGGGAGGGGAGCTGAGAACTATGAGACGAGCTATACCGTAACTGAGATCTGGATGTTCCAGTGGAAAAAAGGCCCGTGCTAATCAAATCAGACCGTCTCCTGCAGCCCAGTTTAGGAATTGCTGGATGGTGCCGAAGTGGGCATGGAAATATAGCTCAGATTCTAAAAGAGGGGCTAAGGAGGTGGCTAAAATATACTAGCGAGTAAGATTTTACAGGCATCAGTGTTTCTTAAACAAATAAGAGAATTTGATGTTTATAGGGTTCAGATTATAATGACCCTTCTCTTTTACACCCATCTCCTGTCCTCTTCCTAATTTCTCCCTCCTGCTCTTGCAGACAGAGCTCCAGGACCTCTTGAAGCCAATTTCAGATCACATCCAGGAGATTCAGAGCTTCAGAGAAAGAAACCGTGGCAGCAGCCTCTTCAACCACCTTTCAGCCGTCAGCGAGAGCATCCCCGCACTGGGCTGGGTGGCCGTGGTAAGGATGAGCACACATGAACGTGCACATGATGCTGTGTAAAGATTGGCATGTCTGATAAAACCTATTTAAGCCACAATACAAGAAAGAAAGCATATCAACTGTCTGAACAGAAAGCTATTAGCCCTTTTTGAATTTGATGGTCCTCGGGAGCAAGTATTCAACCTTTATGAGTAGAGTGTGTGTAATAACCAGCTGATGGTAAATGACGCTGATGTTAGCTTAAACCCGTCAGACAAAAGCAAACACGAAGTTAAGCCAACTTTTCAATCATCTGCATAAACAACCTTTCATGCAGATAAATAACTAAAAGTAAGACCTTATTTTTCTTCCTACAACATGGACTTTTTCTGTTTTCCATCAGTACAAACATTTCTTCTGACTTGAGTCGAAGATCATTTTAAGATCAAAGATCACCATCTCCAGTGCTTGAATACAAGTCTTTGAAGCTGCTTCTGGTCTGTGCAGGTTACTGGCAGGACGCCGCTTTTCGCCACTTATGAAACGTGCTGAACTTAAGATGTTCAGAGAAGTGTTTATGTCACAGCTTTCAGGAGATTTTATCTCTCTCCATCTCAGAGTCAGAAGCCTGGTCCATATGTAAAGGAGATGAACGATGCTGCCACCTTCTACACCAACAGAGTGCTTAAGGACTACAAGGAAACGTAAATATAGCTCATTTTTCATCTTCTCTAGATATTTGAAACATTACAGCTGATTTATTTATTCCATAAATGACAATTCATGCAAACCATGAAAGTGACTGTGTTAAACAAATCAGGTAGAGAGATGACAGGAGCCTAGAATGCAAAAGTAGATGAAAATTAGAAAGGTAGCATGGCGAATGCAGACTAACGGTGTTCAACAATAAAGCAGATTTTTTATTTATTTCACAAATTGTTAAAACATTTCTGTATCAATTTAACCTGCAAAACGCTGCATCGTGAGTTTCTTGCTCCGCTCACCTGCTCAGGTCCATCCTCATCCACATGCCTCAGCTTCCTTCATATATAATTTTTTATTTGACCGTTATATGTTTGTCTCTCCCAGAGACAGACGCCATGTGGACTGGGTGCGCTCCTACCTGTTGATCTGGACTGAGATGCAGGCGTTCATCAAACAGCACCACACGACAGGTCTGGTGTGGAGCAAGAGTGTGAGTACACAAGCGAGGTGCCACGTATGGATTCAAAAGGCTTTTTTTGCCTTTGTTAGTACAATATTGTGCTGTTTTATGTTATACTCACCACCTTCTCATACCTGAGCCTGAATCACTCCTGTTACTAGTGCTTTATAATGTCAGCTGTGTTTTCGTTTGGTTTCTGTTCGCACGGCTTGATCGTTTTATATCTGCTCAAAATAACTTCTACCATTTTTAGTTATGGAGCAGTCAGTTACATAAACCACTGCAGGGAGCATGAATGAATGAATGAGCTTCTCCTCAGTGGCCGCTCACCGCATTTCTCTGTGAAGCTTTCAAAGACCTCTGTCCCTCCCACACACACTCACACACACACCCCGTTAATGTCTACTCAAGGACTAGCCTTTGCTAGATCTCAGAGATTACAGTGATCTGAAACCAAATCTTTTTCCCTTATCAGTTAGAAGAGTTTTTCCTCTTGATTTGATTACAGAAAGAAACAACAAAACTAAAGCTTCACTTTCCTTATTAACTGAATTGTTGATCCGAGGGGAAAGATGCCTGTTCACTCTTGCTCTGAGCCGCAAGTGAGGATCAATAATGCTGTCATATTTGTAACTATGAGGTTGCTGCCAGGAGATGGTCGGGAGATCTGAGCTTAGCATGAAGAATGTTAACAAAGTGAAACAGCTGGCCTGGATAGTGTCATTCATAGTTTAATTTTAAACTCAAATAAAATAAACCATTTTCATTACTGAGCTTTAAAGGTGCTGTGGAGATATGGTCATCATGGACACCCTTTTTACAAGGTGGAATGATTGTACAGCATATTTAATACCTTTAACAAAACAAGAAGCAGATGCACAAGTATACCTTCATTTCAGATTTTATCTAATTCATAAAGGCTCAAGTAAATACACACACGGCCACTAATATTTGGTTAAATGTCCCTTAGCAAGTTGCACCTCTACCGGACGCTTTTGGCACCCATCAATAATTTTCTGGTATAAATCTGGCCGGATATTTGACCACACTTTATGGAAGAAAGATAATGTTAGAGTTCATTTAGTTGGTTTCCTGGCGTAGACCCGGCTTTGAAGTGCAGTCCACACAGGCTGAGGTCGGGGTTTTGGTAAGGCCATTCAAGAATCTTTGTCTCGCCTGACCACCGTCTCGCTTTTCCATGTGGGCAGCTGCAAATTTCAGTCGAGGTTAAAAGTGTCGATTTAGTAGCAATGGCTTCTGTCTTGGTCTGCACCCTCTCAGTCCATGACAATGAAAAACTGGTTTCACTGTGGACAGTGATGCTGGTCTTCCAGCAGATTCCAGTTTCCAGACTTGAGCCTTGGTGGTTTCTGGTGACTCCTAACCAGTTTCCTCTTATCTGAAGGTGACAGTTTGGGTCTTCCTCCTGACACCGCCAAAGTGATGGCCCATTTCAATAACTTGTATTTAAGTACAGTTGTTTGAACTGATAAATCCTGCAGTTGTTTAGAAATGACTCCAAGAAACTTGCTTAAATCCACAATTCTCCTTCTTAGTCTTCACTGAGTTCCTTGGACTTTCCCGTTGTTCTGAGTATTGGTCAGTCCAGTGAGTGCTTTTAAACTAATCCTTTTATACTGGCAAAGAGAAACTACAATGTAGTCGATCATGATCACTAATGAGAAGTTAGCAGGCCTTGTGAAGTTAAAAAAGTTAAAAGATTTAATGTGTGTTTTCTTATTTTTTAAAGTCATTAAAGATGTATGCAGTACACTCATTCGACACTGGAAAAAGAACAGTTCGAAGAAGTCATTCGTGCCCTTGATGAGTGGATGTAAACTTCTGACCACAACTGTACCTTTTGGCATTCAGGGCAGCTGCTTCCTTCTGTTTGCACTCTAAGTTAAGAGATCTTCTGCTCTCAGCAGGGAATCAAATAAGCCCCAAATGGTTCACTTTTTCCTTTATTGCAACATGAAACGATGAAAACCTATGCTCAGCTAAAACTAATGCTCAACAACTGTGCTCACATGTGTACTGTCTGCATGCAGAAACTTGAGAGCCTGCGGCGGCTGTGTGTGTCAGCTGCTGGCCCTGCTGTCAGACAGCAGAGCTGCTGCATGTGCGAGAGACACAGAGTGTGTGTGCGCAAACAAGGACCGGAGTGTGTGGTACCAACAGGTGGTCCTCACGATTTACTTGAATGGAGGTTTTCTTTACAGAAGTTGCCCCGACAAAGAGCCTGTGTACACACACAGCCTGTGCCGTAACCTAAACTGCAGGGCTGGTCCCTCTTCACCGATGCAACGCGTCATCTGCTGCTCAGACGGCGCTTTAGTGACGGGCCTATCCACAGGCTGACATATGGACCCATGCAAACGGTCACATTAAACTAGACACAGGGTAAAAAAAACAAAAGAACTTAAAACGTTAAAGCAAGTCCGATTCTGAGTAGTCAACATCACACTTTTAACACTTCAAATATTTTTTCCAGTTGTCCCTCGGGGGCTTGTAGTTAACATGATTCTAGTTATCACTGTTTAAATGGTTGAACTGACAGTTGTTTTATTTATTTCAGCTGATTATTTCTCGTATAAAATCTTTGAAATCGATAAAAATAGTAATTTCTGCTTCATAAATCTCAGAGTGAAGCCTTCAAACCTTCAAGCAAGGAGTTCTTCATGTCAGAAACAGGAAACAATAGATGTCAACTATCTAATAGATTGTTGATTGCTTAAGCTGTAGTTTAAAACAGCAGAAATTAAGAAGATTTTAAGTGAAGCTAATTATATTAACACAAGGAGCCACCTTTTTTTCCCCACCTAAATCCTTTTTGTACACAAAAACCCACAAATACACACACAAAGAAGTGTTCAGTAGATAGTTTTACAGCCATGCATGAATGTGTGCGTGCACACATCTGCTGGTTCTAATCCAGAGGCATGCAGTGAGCTGTTTAGTGTAACAGGTCTACATTGTTCAGCAGTGATATTCACAACACATGTTACTCGTGTCAAAGGTCAAGTCTGAGCACTCAGAGGCACGTTTGGTGACAATTTAACCCTGTGGTAGGTGTGTGGGTCTGTCTGTGTCAGCTGTGCTAGATCTTCAAAAAGCAGATATGTGTGTGTGTGTGTGTGTGTGTGTGTGTGTGTGTGTGTGTGTGTGTGTGTGTGTGTGTGAGTACCCTTCTCTTCCTTACACATCAGAGCTACTTAAAGAACCTTTTTCTTCATAATTTAAATTCTGATGTTATAAAAAATCTGTAATGAACAAAATTTGGGGGAAAAAACATCTTGATTTTTCTTTTCTGGCACAACAGTGCATCCATCTTCTTACGCTTATCCAATTCAGGGTCGCGAGGGGCGAGCTGTGGTCTATCCCAGCTGTCGTAGGCCGAGAGCCGTGTACGTCCTGGACAGGTGGCCGGTCTATCCCGGGGTTACGTTTGAGAAACAGTGCAGTCGTAAAATTTGGGCCATTTTAATGTGAAGCTGTCTGTTTTTCACCCATCAAGTAGGAAAACTCCTGTTTGATCCTGGGAGGAGAGAGGTCACTCTCAGCTGACATTCATCTTAATCATTTTTCATATTTCATCAGTTTGTTTTATCTTTTTTTTCTTAGTCGTTATTGTTTTGTTTCTTGTTGCATTGCTTTCTTTTTTTTATTGTTTAAACTTGTTTGTTTAGTTGTTTTGTTCTTGTCAGTTTAATTTTAAAGGGAAAGCTCACAAACCAAAGATGCTGTGTTTCACTGTATTAGAAAAGCTTACTTTAGTTTAAAATAGTATCCAAATTCATTCAAATAAAAAAAATTAGGTAAAGATTTTGTTCAGATTAACTTGTTCAGTATTCGTGCACAACACTTAGCTTAAGTAGTACAACCAACACACAGGATGAGTCATGTGAACTGAAGGCAACGTGAGTGAGATCTGCTTAAATTGAAGTTACTAAATTTAAGTGTTTTAACTTTCTTAAAACTCAAACAGTTCACATAAAAATGTGATTGTGTTGCTTTGTGTTTTTTACATTACTCACATCAAGTGTCAGAGGACCAGGGTCTGCGAGCACTGCAGAGTTGTACAATTTAAGTACACTTTAAATGAAATAAACAGGCAGACCTCAGATTCAGAGCCTGAGTCAAATTAAAATATTTTAGTAAATACACTTTAATTATTTTTAAAATATTTTATTTCCTTCCAACATCTCTCAGGGCCCCATCGCTCCTGCTTCTCTCTTTGATTCGCCCCCAGCCCCGAATGCACCCTGTCCACCTCCACCACCTCCTCCACCCCCTGGCCCTCCTCCGGTGTTCACCGATGACGACGCCAAGCCTCAGGCGGACGCCGCCGTAGCCCAGCACTCCGCGCTATTTGCCCAACTCAACCAGGGCATGGACATCACTAAAGGTGCATCCACGAGCAACGCAGAAGAGCTGAGCGACAGTTTCCACCTTAATTTAATTTAAGCTTATATTTTTAAACTCATAATGTTATCCTCACACTTTCAATCTGTAGGTCTGAAGCATGTGTCAGATGACCAGAAGACCCACAAGAACCCCAATCTGCGTTCTCAACAACCAACAACAGCCAAAGGCAAGAACGCGGGGCCTGTGGCTTCACCCACTACACCTGCCCAGAAAAGACCCCCTCTGCTGGAGCTGGAGGGGAAGAAATGGAGGGTGGTACGTGCGATGTGTGAATCCTATTTTGAGGATCATTTGTATTTAATTAAACCCACAACGGGAGCTGAAATGAAGGGCACTTTGGAAAATTTCAATGACAATTTAATTTGCACCTACCCAGCTCTCATTTATATCGTAGAAACAAACCCAATCCAGGTGTCCTGGTAGACCGGCTGCTAATCTAGATTTTTGAATCCTTATTGTTGCAGGAAAACTTTGAGCAGAAGCACGACCTGGTGATCGAGGAGACGGAGCTTAAACAGGTGGCGTACGTCTTCAGTTGTAATAACTCCACCCTGCAGATTAAGGGCAAAATAAACTCCATCATCATTGGTAAGCTGCCTAAAAGCAAAATCATGAGTTTGAGCACAGATTTCATAACGTGGGATTATAATCTTCATCTGGTTTGTTTTCATCCCGTCTAGACAACTGTAAGAAGCTGGGTGTGGTTTTTGAGAACGTTGTTGGGATCGTGGAGATCATTAACTGCAAATCGATTCAGTTGCAGGTGAACACATTTTTATTTTGACACAGAATTAAGTGATGTGCCGAGTGTCTCGTAGGTCCGCTTTCATTTTCTTAAAACTGTTCAGAATTTTACACCCAAAGTGTAAAATAACATCTCACAGTGCCCAAAAAAAGCCTGTCAGTAAGTGAGGCATGTCTTTCTGCAGGTTTTGGGAACAGTTCCCACCATTTCCATCAACAAGACCGAGGGCTGCCAGGTCTACCTGAGTAAGGACTCCGTCAGCTGTGACATTGTCAGTGCCAAGAGCTCTGAGATGAACATCATGATACCTGAAGGAGAGGACGATTACGTGAGTAACCGAGATAAAGGCTGAGCTAATTCTCTCCGTGTGTGCAGCTGTTCTTACACTTACTTTGTTTTTGTTTTCCTTTTTTTTAAACAGAGGGAGTTCCCAGTGCCGGAGCAGTTCAAGACTGTGTGGAATGGAGCCAAACTGGTGACAGAACCCACGGAGATCGCAGGCTGACTTTGTCGTCCATAGAACACAAATATATTTCCGTCCTCCTGATGTTATCCCTCAGACATACAGTGCTGTGAAAAGTACTTTCCCCCTTCATAACTTTTTTTGTATAGTTGTCACATGTTTTTAGATAATGAAACTTTAATCAAGTTTTAAAATTAGATATATTGTTCTCTGCTGACCAAACAGAACACAAAGGCTCATCTCGTGCCAAAAATCATCCTGGTGGCCCCTGAGACTTTTGAGCAAATATTCTGTGGGCTGACAGGACAAAAGCTGAACTTTCTAGAAAGATTGAGCCATTTAAACTAACACAGCATTTCATAAAGAGAAGATCATACCAAAAGTAAAACGTGGTGGCAGTGGTTGCTTTGCAGCTTCGGGACCTGAATGACTTCTGGGCGACTCTGCTCTCTACCAGAAAATGTTGACGGAGAATCTTCGGCCATCAACGGTGCTCAGGAAACTCAAGGACATTTGGCTTAGTCAGTAGGACAATGATCCAAAATACATCAGGAAGTCCACCTCTGAATGGCTCAAAAACCAAAAACAAATAGAAGGTTTTGGAGTAGTCCAGTCAAAGTCTGAACTTAAATCAGACTGAGATGCTGTGGCACGACCTTTAACACATTGGAGAGTCTTCAATGTGGCTGAATTAAAAGAATTCTGCAAAGATGAGTTGTCCAAAATCCCTCCACAATGATATGAAACACTCATTGCCAGTTATCGCAGTTCTTGCTATCAAGCGTGGCACAACCAGTTATTAGGTTTAAGGGTACATACAGGTAGTTTTAGGCATTTTTTTTTTCCTTTGATAAAAACAAAAAAAATCATGGTCATCATCATTTAAAAACTGCATTTTTATTTACTCAGTTAAAGTTCATTTGCTGATCTTAAACACATAAATGTGAGAAATATGAAAAAGAAATCAAGAAGGGGGCAAATACGTTTTCATAGCGCTGTACGAAAGGTTTTCTAATAGGCACGTAGATTAACTTTTAGTCCACTTGCTGTATTTGTGACTTCATAAGAGGTTTCTCCAGCACTTCTGCAGCTGTTGTCTGTAATGAATCTGTCAGTATAACACAATCTCCCACTAGTGGTGAAGAATAGCTCAGGTTTAGGTGTCACAAACCAGAGCACACTTACATTTCTGTGCCAAAACAACACAGGCATTTATGTGAGAAAGTGTAACTGCTGAAAAATAATATTTTAAAGGTATTTTCATCATTAGATCCGTTTCCTTAAAATATAGATTTTAAATGTTCCGGGATGACCACTAATAAGACAGTACTCCACTTACACCTACTGCAGAAAACTTAAAAAAACCAACATTACCTTCAAATAGAGAAAAGCAAATAAGTGTCTGTGGTACATTTTCCATCTAATAAAGTGCTTCCAGCCACTTCTGTAAAGAGCATCGTGCCCAGCAGTCATGTAGTAAAGTCACTGTGAAGTACATGCAGTACTGTCCTTATTCTGCATTAACAGCTGCTGTTGTGATTGAAATGATTAATTAGCTAATTTCTTTTACTGTACAACGTATCAGCTATAGTGGTAACGGTTACCTCCGAGCACTTCCTATGTTTATTGTACTTTGTATACCACTCTTATTTTGTAGCACACAGCACCAGCATAGCACAGATGAAATGCTGATACTAAAAATATAATATACGAGAAAACAATTTTATGTAATTCTGTGTCTTTTTTTTTTCCAAATAAAGTCAAAACCTCCCAGTTCTGGTTTGTTAGTTTTATTTTGTGCGAGGAGAAAAAAAAAAGCACAACAAAAAGAACCATGAAAGGGAGAAACAAAGAATAAAATCTCAGGAGATCAGCCATGACATGGAAAGAAGACAATCACAGAGTAGAAAAATAAACCAAAACAAATGTTCTTCCGCCTCATCCCTGTACGGTAAGAACTGATGATATTTGGTCATAATGGCTTGTAATATCACAGAAGCAGCTCTCACTGTTTTGAGCAGGAGGGCAAGAAGTCCAAACCAAGAACAGGCAAGAACCTGGCTAACTTTTAAAACAAAGGGACTCGTGTAGAAGAAAGCCTTCAATCTGAGACAGGCCTGACACAACAAGACCTGCAGCATACAAGCTGGCCGTGTACTGCTAGGTTCATAGACTACATAAAACCATGATGTTACTCACTGGCTGGTGAAGTCCCGGCTTTAATTCTCACACTGAACATCTTGACTTCACCATTTTAGTGTTTTAAAACAAGAAGTGACAGCGAAGGGGTGCAAATCCACAGACACTACACACTTGTATGTCAGCAGTCAGATAAATCACAATTTACAAACATTAGGTTATGAAATGAGATCTTGAAACTCTCCAGAGAAGAATTAACTGGGCTAATAACTCAAAGGCGCTGAAAGCTAACTTTCCTGTAGACTTGTAATAATCAGACTTCTTTTTTCAGTCCATGAGCTGCCCCCTACTGGCCATTAAAAAGAATACAGGTTTACAGCACTTCCCCAACCTGGAAGTCCTTAAAAAAGGATTTTTCAATATTTTATCCTCCAAAATCCACATTTTTGGAAAAGATTTGGAACAGCATCTGAAATCTGTAGTGCCTTTAAAAGGCTGTTTTTCAGTGTTTAATCACTACATTTCCCTGAGAGTCTTGAGTAAACAGCATCTCTTCATCCTCTTCCTCCTCCTCCGGCAGAGATTTGTAAGCACTCACCACTCCCATGCTGACGTTACTCTGATCTTTGAGAGGACTCCTGGTGTGCAGACCTCTGTGTGCGATCACCCTGAACCCTTCAGAGTCCTGAGTGAACAAAGTGGCCAAACTGTCCTCATCGAGTTCTCTGCTTTGCCTTTTGAGAGGAGAGCTTATCGGTTTTGTCCGCTTGATCTGGAAGGCAGAGCTCTCTTCTTTTTCCCACAGCTGACCTGTTTGTTTCCGAGGTGAAGCGGTTTTTGGTTGTGTCCACTTATGATTTGAAACAGGTTTGAAATGAGAGGAAGATGAGTCTTTGCTTGGGGAATTATAAGACGGTGGCGTGCTGTTTTCCTTCTCATCAATCATACGAGAAGAATGAAGACGTTTAAAAGATTTTTGAGTTGAGGTTTGTCCTTCTGCATCTATCAGTTTTCTAAAGACCTCCTCCTCATTCTGCAGACTGTTTACTAAACTTGGCTCAGAGCTGCTGAAGTTCTTCACTGTTGTACATTTGTGGCTAGTCTGATGAAAGTTATTTTCAGTGTACTGACTGAAAGTGAACAGCGGGTCCTGACTCCACGTCTGTGGTAGAGGTTGACAGTCATCTTGTGTTAAGGTGGCATCAGAGACCCTCCTCTTACTCTGTGGTGGTTCACACTCTTCAGGCTTCTCTTCTTCAGATTCACAGTATATGTTTTGTAAACTTGAATGGTTTTCTGAACGCGTCTGCCATAATTCTGTTTCCTTCTCAGTCACATTTTCACTTGTACGCTCGTCAACCAAAACAGGCTCAAAGTTGGAGTTTTCAAAACCAACATTGCGCCCTCGTTTTTTCCCTGATGCTGTGGCTGTCGGTGTAGCTGAGTCAGATGATGAAAGAGGCTGCACTGAATCCATGTTTGGTGGCTCAGAAGTGGACATCTTATTGAGGACTTTTAGAAGAAAGTAAGAAAAAAATTATGTTAACACAAAATCAAATAATTTACTGTATTAACTTGTATGCTTATTGGTCACTTCATTAGGTTCAATTTGTTGTAAACACAAATATTTAATCAACCAGTGATGTGACAGCAATGCAGACATGATTAAAACGACCTGCTGAAGTTAAGACTGAGCATCAGAAGTGAGATGAAAGGCGGTTTAAGTGAGTGTGGACATGGCATTGTTATTGGTGTCAGACAGGTTGATCTAGACCATCAGACTATAAGATTAGACTATAACTTTCGGCAGACTTTTAGATGCTTACCTCTCCGATGAGCTGTGAAAAAGGCAGATATGGAGCTCTGTTTGGTTTTTGGCATTTCTGTTTTGGTCTGAGTGAAGTTGAGTGCCACAGCCAAACTGTACCCAGCACCTTCACAAAACGGGTTCAGCAGTTTAGAAATGGGACGGCTACGGCGCTTCTGAAAGATATAAAAGAGAACACAGTGTGTAAACAGTAATAGACAGAGACTGCAGATCAGCATTTTAGTGTATTAAATAACTGCTCTACTCAGGCATGCTGGAGAAGCCATCAGACCATGTTTACACAATTACCTGTTTAGCTTTTCCTTTCAGCTCCACAGTGTCCAGCCAAACATCACAATCCTCTTGATCAAAGGTCTGTGGTGCTGCTGCAGTGCTCTTCATGGTCGACAGCCCAGGAAAGATATGATCTGTATGAAATAAAAACAGGATTTTATAAACGAGTTAGACATGCCGTTTGTTTTAAATAAAGAATCATTATACTTTAAAAACTATTTTCATGTCTCTCGTTGATGAACATGTTTGCAAGAAGCCTTTACTTATCTTTAACTAATTCAATAACGCTACCACAGACCTGTGAGTTAGCTACAGTTGGTTAACATAGCTCTTAAAACAGATTTTTGGGAAATACCTTATGATACAATGAAGATCCAGAGTAATATTTTGAGGTTTCCTTTGCAATTTTTTATAATCGTTTGTATAACTCTCTAGTACTCGGTTCAATCTGCCGCCTTCAGGACTGTCTGCCCCTGATGATTGACTGTGTGAAAATGCCTTTATGTGGTTGTACCTAAAATGCGCGATTTAATTTGAAAGATAATTTAAAGGTAGGATATATAAAGACGTTCATAATACTCTTTCATCATAAAAATGTATTTATGTCTAATTAATAAAATTTACCATAACAATATTCTTCATTTCTGGTTGGGCGCGTTGGACACCTAATATTTTGACGTCTGCCGGTCCGTGCGTAGATGTGGGTGTGTTTACGTTGACGTCATCGCAGTTTTTCCGACAGGGTGAGTGAATTGTTTTTAATTTGGTTTATTGAACTCTGTTATTGAAATAGAGTGAGCATAGCACCGATTTAACAGCTGCTCTCATAATAATGATCAGTTATATAAATCTTGGTGTTTAAAATCAGCTGCCTGCGCGCCACAGTGATTAGAAATCATAGGAAGTGCTGACAAGCTAGCTTCCGTAGCTAAGTAGTTAGTTCGGTTAAACAAGAAATTTCATCAGCAGATATATTTAGTGATTCGTAAGTTTTATTCCGCTGAGTGACTCTGTGTAACGTAAAAATGTTTATAAACTCTCTGTGCCGGGTTGTGAAGCTAAGTTAAGCAAGTCTGTAATTATAATCCGACGGGTTGTTTTTTTTTCACGTTTTGTTTCTGAACAGCGAAACACAACTGCCTGTTTGTGTGGAGCAACATTTCCATAGTGTTTGTCAATAGGTCACACTTGAAAGTGGACATTAAAGAAACTACATTTAAGAGTTTAAGAGTGCTCGGCAGAAAGCAGACCGAGTACAAAGAGACAGAGAACAAATATAATTTAAAAAATTTACATTTGACCCCTACAGTGTGACCTTATATGCCCCCTTAAACTGAGGGTCACTGGAAGTTAGTACAAAATTAGTGTGAATGACTTAATAGTCGAAACATCAAATGTTCTGACTATGAACGGGTTTTAATTTAATTAAGCAAGCATTGGCTCAACAGCTTTGTAAAATGCTTTTTATTTGGATTTCTTTAAGTTAGTCATCATCGTGCGACTGTTGTTCCAGTGCCAGTCTTCATTATTAAAACTTGACTTTGGTGGTTACCACTGTTGCCTCACAGTCCTTGGTTCAAATCAACTGGCTGAGGTCTTTCTGTGTACTTGTGTCAGTTCTCTCTGAATGCACTAGCTTCCTGTCAGAGTTAACTGGCACGTATAATTAGCTGTAGGTCTGAATGGTTGTCTGTCTCTTTGTCCTGCAAAAGTCTGGTGACCTGTCCAAGGTGTAGCACATCTCACGCCCTAGGTAGGAGAGGCTCCAGAAAAAGGGGTGCATGGATGAGTTTTCCTTACAAAGATGTTTAGGCATGTGGTGGCATTGCATTTGAAACCCAATGTATGGGTTTATAGCTCAGTGGGATGACCAGGCCACCATAACCCCATATGGCCAGAGAGCAGTAGGCCCGGGTTTGAGTCTGACCCGCGGCCCTTTGCTGTCTTCCCCTCTCTCTCCTTGCTTTCTTGTCTCTCTACACACTCTCTATCGAATAAAAGCTTACATGAAGGTTGATTTTTTTTACTTAAAAGTATTAGTTTATCTTATGTTACTGGTGTAATTATTGAAAAGAAAAAGAAACAGCGATCATTAAAAAACATCTTACACCATCTGTGGCTCACATTAAATATTTAAACTCCAGAAGGGGGTATTAGTCTTTCTATAAATCTTCGGATTGTTCCTGTTGTTACACTTCTTTTATTATCACAAAGTGCATCTCATATATATATATATATATATATATATATATATATATATATATATATGAAAGCATGTTCGCATTAAACAAAAATGCCATACCTAAGTGAAAATTGCAGACTATTATCTCACAATTTTAAGATAATAACCTGAAATTTTCATTTAGTTCTGCCCATTTGTTTTTTCTTTGGGAACATGTTTCCATACATACCAATGAAATTAAAAATGGCAATTAAAAATGTTACAATTAGGAAAAACAAAACTGAAATATGACCGCAGCATAAATTGTCTGAAGCTTTTGTTTATAAATGGAGACACTTATGAAATGTTAAAGCTGCCTGAATATATTTGGTCACAATTATGGAAAACTATGTGAAATAAATATTTTTCAGATCACATTTTGAGACATCAGCATCATGTTCCATGGGATACCAGTCACTGGAGGAGGAGGAGGTAAGACATTCAGCTAAATCAGTGTATAAAAATGAATTGTTGAATTAATATAAGAGTCATCTTTTCAACAGAAAACAGCAGTAATACTTCATGACACTGTTTTCCTTTCAACAGCTCCGGCAAATAAACCTGAGCTATATGAGGTAAATCCAACAACATAATTCTGATTAGTATACTAAAAAAAAGAGGACTTTATTTGTTCTTTTTTTTAAATAACATTTATTGCCCATGTGTAAATCATCCGTAAATCTAAACTAAAGCTGGGAATGTTATCAAGAATATGTGATATCCTTGCTGTTAAGGATAACAATCATGAATGCTGTCGTTTCAGGAAGTGAAATTATACAAAAATGCAAGAGAACGAGAAAAGTAAGTGCTTGATATGTCACCAGTGACCATTATCACTTTATAAAATGCAGATTTACTGTGTTACACATGTTATAACGATCCTGTTTCTGTAGGTATGACAATATGGCGGAGTTGTTTGCTGTCGTCAAAACACTACAGGCCCTGGAGAAGGCTTACATTAAAGACTGCGTAACGCCTAATGAGTGAGTAACAGTTGAGATCATATTTAAAATATGGCACCTGTAACTTTAGCTGTGTGTTTTTTAATTAATGTGGAGTTTTTGTTGGTTTCAGGTACACCGCCTCCTGTTCCAGACTCTTGGTTCAGTATAAGGCTGCTTTCAAACAGGTGCAGGGCTCTGACGTGGGCTCCATCGATGACTTCTGCAGGAAGTACAGAGTGAGTGCTCGTCTGCAGTGCAGAGTGTCTGTCATATTTTTCAAGATTTTATTTTTGTAATTTCTTGTTGTTGTCATATGTTTTCCTAGCTCGACTGTCCACTTGCGATGGAACGGATTAAAGAGGATCGGCCAATCACCATCAAGGATGACAAGGGCAACCTGAACCGCTGCATCGCAGATATAGTTTCAGTATGTCCCCACGACTATATTAAATATGTTAAAGAGAGAAGTATTTAGGCTGCTGGAAAGAACATTTTTTAGGATTTATTGAGCTCAGTTTTAGCTGAGTGGCCAATGTGGTTTCACTCAGTTTGGCTCAACATTTGGTAATTCCATAAAAATGAGAGTGGATATCACAAGCTTAAGTTTTACCAACTGCAGGCTCAGCTCATAAAACAGACAAACTAATAAAGTCAGTGCGCTCGTTCCTAGAACTGTTTGTCCTGAAACATATTTCTCACTGCCGACTTTTAAAACTAGGAAAATATTTTGTCTCATCCTTCTCGAACATTTAGCTCTTCATCACTGTGATGGACAAGCTGAGACTGGAGATCAGGGCCATGGATGAGGTAAATTTATAAATGTAAATAATATGTTATTAGTAAACAATGACTGGACTTCCAAGATACTGATTGATTGTTTGTTTTTTAATTTGTTCAGATCCAACCAGACCTTAGGGAGCTGATGGAGACTATGAACAGAATGAGTAACATGCCTCCAGACTCAGAGGCCAAGGACAAAGTCAGTCTCTGGTTAGTAACACTAGGCCGCAACGTTTGTGCTCTTTATGTCGTTGATCTGTACGTGCAGCACACCTTGAGGCAAAACATGACCAGTCAGGAAACCTACAGCCACACCACACAGCACCTATCCAGTTCCAGAATTGCTGATACAAGGCAGGGTGAATCTATACTGTCACGTTGTTTATGTCAAACTCTGACCCTACCATCTAAATGTTGGAGCAGAAATCAAGCACCATTTTTCCAATCTTCCATTGTCCAATTTTGATCCGCATGTGTGAATTTTAGCCTCAATTTCCTGTTCTTAGCTGACAGGAGTGACACCTGGTGTGGTCTTCTGCTGCTGTAGCTCATGTGTTTCCCTGCAAATGAAATTCCCACCAGTCGTGCCATGGTCACAGTCATTTAAATTTCTTCTCTGTGCTGTTGCTCAGTTCTCTTCAGTTCAGCAAATTGTTTTGACCGTGTCTACAGACCTAAATTCATGAAGTTGCTGCCATGTGATTTTCTGATTTGATTTTAATAGTTAACAACTAGTTGAACAGATATAATTAAAGTGGCAGGTCAGTAAGTGTGATCCAAAACTATCAATCATGGCTCCGACACACAAGTACTGCGTGGCTACTCTGTAGTTACTAGGATACTATAAGTTAAAAGGGAGCTGTGCAGTTCAGTGATGAAGGAAAAGAGAGGGGTTGAAGAAAAGTGTGAAATCGTAGGACTTCTTGCTAAATTGTGAAAATCTAACTTAATCCCCCTCCTCCTATTGGCTATTGGGGTACGGGTTTCCTATGTGTCCGTATTCATGCAAGGTAAAACTTTGTTTTGCATCTGGTGCGACCGTACCATTATCCATGCAACTAGCTGAGCAGTGGTTATAAAGTACCTGATCTTTGATGTGTTTATGATCATATAGTTCTCTTAACTGACATTTTTCCAACAGGCTGACCACCCTGAGCAGCATGTCGGCCTCGGATGAATTGGATGATAATCAAGTTCGCCAGATGCTCTTCGACCTGGAGTCGGCCTACAATGCCTTCAACCGCTTCCTCCACTCCTCTTAAAGCGCCTCTCTGTCACGGATAAATCTGGAATCCTGACTCTAAAGCCTGTTAATTTAAAAGAAGAAGAATGCTGCTTTCTGTGGATTTACGTCCCCTCCTCCTTCTGTTCTTCTAGCTGTACAATTGGTCTCTGTGTTCTTTAATCGGGATGTGCACAGGTCACTCTGCTGTCATCTCAGCCTCGTCAGCTCGGCTCGCTTTGTTCTGTGAACTGTTATCCCCCCCCCTTTTTTTTTCTATCCAGATTTGTGTGATAAATGCATTAACAGTGGCTGAACTTCATACTGTAACATCGAGAAGCCTATTTTATACCCGGGGTTTGCAGCAAACCAATAAACAAACATGATACAGGAAAAATCTGCATAACAGCAGATTTCTTTTCTTTTCACTTTTCATACCCTAATTGTATTTCTGACTTAAACATAATTTACTACATTTGTTTTCTACTAACAGGTTTTTGCTGTAGTATCGTATATAATTGTAATTACATAATTATTTGGGCTTTAAGATGATTAGTTTGCAGTTCAAAGGAATCATATTGAAACTAAGGTGAAAGAAAATAGTTCTGATTTTGATTTTTCTGTCGCTGTCTCTTCTCATGTCTTATCCATTATTTTCTTTTAAGTAAAGGGTTCATCAAGTGGGCAAAAAAGGGAGCTCACTGCCTCCCTTTTGTTGTTTACCAAATATGTTTCAGCTCCCAAACACCATTAGGGAGAACATATTTATTGCAATGTATCGTTGTAAATAATAGGTTTGATTTTTAAATAAAAGCATGTAACATCTTTTTAGGAATAAATTTTAAAAGGAAAGAAAAAATCTACGTCTATCTTCTTTTGTGCCCGTGTCAGATATGTGATTTATTAATCATTTTTAAATCTTTTGAAAAACAGAATATCTTCCAAAGCATTTCAGTCTTGAAAACAAAAAGGAAGCGCAGACTGATTCCAAAAAAGTCGAGGGGAGTTTGCTCATACGTGTTTTAATGAATAAAAGACTGCAGATGCGCCCTACTGAAAGCATTCACGACAGCTGGAGCTGCTCGTGGTCTTGTGAAGTTTGGCCTTGTTGGCGAGGACCACGACGGTGTCATGGGCAGGCTGGAAAGTCTGAAGTAGGCTCTGACACTTCTGCTCCACCCCTAGGATGTGAGCGTTTTTGGACAGTTCCTCCTCGACAATCATCAGGTGCTTGTTTTGGAGCTCCAGGTTCTGACTGTAAAGGATGGCAACAGAAATGAGCAAGCACGGGGTATTATGGAAGAAAATGGTGTCATGATCAGTGTGAGGCTTTTGGGAATGGGCTGACTCACTGAGAGAACTTCAGCGCCGAGCGAAGTCCAGCTCCTATTTTTACCAGGTCGTAATTCTCCAGCGTGAGGCTGATGTGCGGCTGAAGGAGGAGCAGCAGAGAGAGAGAAAAAAAGGGTTAAAGTTAAAATGTTTCAAAGGACAGTGGAGATTTTCTGACAACAGTCATGTTTGATATGGCGCTCACCAAGTCCCAGCAGAGCTCGTATCCAGGTCTCTGGTTGAGGATGTCCAGGCGTTGGGAAGCATGATCCAGTTTGGTGTCACAGCTCCTGATCTCACACTTCAGTTTCTGTATTTCTTTGGTCTGATCAGAAATGTCATCACTGATCTGAAGGTTAAAGGAAGTCACAGAATGATGAGCAGCAAAGAAAGAAAAATGGTGATTCGTGGTGATTAAACTCCAGTGCACTGACCTGCTTTCTTTTCAAGAGCAGCATTTCCTGGTTTCTGGTCAGTTCGTAGATTTTCTTCCTCAGAGCGCCGTCTGTCCTGCGGCGCTGACACTTGTGGGCGTTTTTTATCTATAAAATTTAAATTGTCATCATAGAAGAAATGGCAAACACGCGATCGGCCTTGGATCTGAGGGTTTTCTTACATTGGCCAGAGAGAACCTCAGGTTTCCCCTGAAGGAAGAAGAGTCCTTCATCAGGATGTTGGCCGCCGTCTTCAGGTCTTTGCAGTGAGAGAGCCATGTGTCATAGCCCACATGGAGAGGCTTGTACTGACCGGCAGGCAGACAGGAGCTCGGCATGTTGAGCTCAAGGGTCATGCATTTCATGGTAAACTTGGTGGCTTCACCTTTGTCGTGTAAATCTGCTCCCAGCTCACTGTGGATCTTCTTCAGAGAACTGGAGGGAGGTTAAGGTTTTTCTGTTATTTTCTCCACTTGCCTCTATTTTAAAGTTCTTTAAAGGATATGAAAATAAAAATAACCAGAATAGTCACACCATGATTGTGATTCTGTGCATCAGACCTTATTTTCCTGAGCAGGATGCAGACCTGCGCCTGCAGAATTTCTCAGCTTTCTTTCGTCAGCCTCTCGTCTTTCCTCAGCTCGGCGTAAACGGGGTCTTGGCTCAGGACCATCCAAAAGGTCCAGTCATGTATAACTTGCACTTCATAGCTGCTTTGGGGCTTTTTCATAATTGCAGTAAACAGACAGATATCACATACAAAGCCATCAGGATGCCAAATAATGTGCTCATAATCTTAAATAGTCACATACTGAAATAATAATAAAATAAAACCACCACAGTGATAAACATCTTAGAGACACACTCACCTTCTGGCTTACTAGTAAATAAGTGACCACCTTAAGTGATATAGAATCAAATCCCTATCCTTGTATTCTGTCTCTGAGGGCAACTGCAGCTTATTTTTGAATGCTTAACCACAAACTGACTCTGTAGGTAGTAATTAAAAGAAATTAACACTGGGAAACAGGGCATCAATTTACAAGTGGTGAAGAAAAGGTGTTTGCCCCCTTCGTGATTGTCATGCTTCCTTAATCAAATTAATATTAGACAAAGATAACCTGAGTGAAAAGCAGTTTTTAAATGATGATTTCATTTATGAAGGTAAAAAAACAGTTATCCCAGCTTACATGGTCCTGTAAAAACTGATGAATTAAGTGTGGAAACTTTGATTTGCTGATTCATGAAATCATTTAAACTGTCATTGCACAGTGCTTTGTATCCTACCACACTGTATCTGATGTTGATATAGAATTAGTGCATGAAAGGCAGTGAAATGTACCCACTTTTTTTATCCCCACCAAAATGTTTCATTTCTTCTTCTGTGCTTTTGATTAGTATTAGAGCTTCATGAGCGAAAAAAAAAAGTTTTCCCCTTTACTGATTTAAAAAAAAAAAAAAAAAAACATACATCAACACTTCACACATTTAGATACTGGTTTATGTGCATTTATTTTTCCTTTTTCAAACATATTTTCATGTGCAGCATTTACACAAACATTTTAAGTGTTTGAGAATCTTTTGGCTCATTGTGTTTTAAAGATAGTGCCTCAGCAGTGAGAAAGAAATCTGTATTCACAATCTTAAAAGGAAACTGTGTCAACATATTTCAGCACCAGTGAAGCTGAAGTGCAGCTTTATTACTTTTATCCCATGAGGGGTCCCTAATATAATGTCCCAAGAGTCTAGGTGTTGTTTCTCAGTATACGCTGTTGACAGTGGGTGTGTGGTAAGCGTGAAGCAAAATGCAGTTTTTAAATTATATAAAATAATGGGACAAAAGCAGAGATGCATTATTTTTCTAATTTTATTGATGGTAATTACCCATGGTTTAAATTTTATCACTCATCCAGTAATAATCATGGCTTTAAAATTAAACTGACTTCCTCATCACCCAAAGTCACCCTTGTCCATTTAAACACGCAATAGAAAAATATATACTTAATACTTTGTACAATACTGGTTTTGGTCCAAACAAAAGTGGATCAGAAAAGCCAATATACCTTTAGTCACCAAAGGCTCTCCAATTTGCATTTAAGCTCCTTTTAAATGGATTCGGGTAACTTTGAATATGGGAACTGACATAATAAATTCTAAAGACAAAAATGCTGAATGCGGAGTTTGTAACACAAAAAATTCAACTTCACAGATTAAAAAAAAAAAAAAAATCACTATTTACAGGTTTTTATAACAATATTCAAAGGCCAATTAAGAGAGAGAGAGAGAGAGCGAGAGAGAGCGAGAGAGAGAGAGAGATAAAGGGAGAGTAAAAGGAAATCAGGAGGAGGGAGGGAACCAGAGAGAGACAAGGGGCCACAAGAAGCAGAGTTGAGGAGCGAACCAGAGAGAAATTAAACATGTAACAAGAGTTTCGAAATTACGCATTTACAAAGTCCTAAAGGAGGTGAACGAGGGCGTAGGCCTCCTGCCTGGTCCATCCTCCGCAGTGCATGGATGCGTTTTCCCCTCTCCCACACCCCGCCCCTCCTTCCGTCCTCCCCTGGTTTTTGTTTTAAACATTCATTTGCTTGTTCACCTGTGGCAGTGCTAGCTAGCAACCCAGGTGAAAAAAAGAAGAATTAAACAAAACTCTGTCGTTCAGCTGTCATACACACACCGCCACACAACCTCATCATGTACAAAGAAACCAAACACACCTCAAGTCTGTACATAAGAGGAGGGGAGAAAACAAGCACTCTGCATTCGTCACAAAGATTAAACGGTCATCCCTGTACATACAGCACGCTGCGCTGACGCTGCAGATGCATCTCCACCGGCACCCTGCTGCCTGTGACGGAGCAGCAGTTTGCAGGATTACCGCTGGAGATTGGCCGCACAGCTCTCACTACCTCTCTGCATATCACAGCTCATAGCCTGATCACCCATACTAATTAATAAGTCTACACTCTGCAGTTTTTGTCTTTGTAATTTTTATTACAAAAAGTCATGCCTAAAGTCTAGCAGACATCTGCCCGTGTTGAAAATATAGATATGACAGTCTTGCTTGTTTTTTTATTTTAATATCGACTGTGGGGGATGTTTGCTTGATTGTTGTTCTCTAAGTCAGCGTCATTGTTCGGTCAACAGTTTTTGTGTAAGTGTCAAATCCTGTGGGGTGGTCTCACACATTAAAACCTCCCATCTGCATGTGAAAACCTGTGAATAATCAGCTGAGCCAAAACCCGACAAACCTCGCCCACCCAACCAACCCCGAGCACAGAATGATGCGCCCAGTCTCTGCCCTTTTCCGAATGGTAGCAATTTCAGTGTTTGTCCAGTTGAAACCTTCCAGAACTTTATTCAGGCTTTAGTGGGGATTCAGTCGAGTCATAGTAACGTCTGAGTTCTTGTCAAGACCGCGACAATCTACTTTCTGCGCCGCACTGCTGTCTTGATCTTGCGCCCTGCGATTGCTGGCTGTCCACCTGAAGTAGCAGTGAATGATTTTGTAGACCTGTGGGAACAGACACAAGTCCCGTTAGAGCATCACCACATACATACACACATACACAAAATCATAAATACTTTGTGGCTGAATCTACTGAACTGCACATCAAATATCTGCACTGCAGACAGCTGACTCTATTTCTGAATACATATTATACAATGCTCCCCTGGGGGAGCACTTAAGAAAACATTTAAGCAAAAATTCTGACTGCCAGTGCTACCTCTCAGCCTGCTAGGAGAATTCATACCTATGGTATGAATTTCAAAATACTGTTTCACCTTGTCCTGAGGTGCTCTCATTCACAAGACAAGTTGAGGTCATTGATGGTCTTACTCTTCCAAGATGTTTTGACGTATACCTATGGTATCAATTTAAAGGCCCTACGCCGCCTCGTTCTCAAATGATAGCGAATGACAGGTGCAACTAGTGACAGCATCTCACATACATCGATGGTAGTATCATTTTTCTATCTGATTTTTATTATTATTAACATACACTTATAGATAGCAGCCCAAATACCACTCTTTAAATATTTAATTTAGGATATTTAAGGCACGCTAACTTGGATTTAAGCTGTTTTGATGTGCATACACTGGGAAAACTTTACATATTAGCTGTAAACTGAGAAAAAGCAACATACCCAATATTGAAAGTCGGAGTTTGCCCAAAGTTGAATCCACCTCCAGGTGCACCTGATTGGGGAGCGATAGAGGGGTTGGCAGGGGGAGCAGGGGAGGCTGAAGATCCTGCTCCGAAAGTAAACACACCTGAGGTGTTGTTGGTTGTAGCTCCAAATGCACTGGTTCCTCCAAACTGAAAGCCTCCACCTGATTTAAAAAAAAAAAAAAAAAAAAGGTGTTACATTTTAATGTCACAACTAAAATCATGAGGCTCGAAAGCCAGCCACTCACCTGGTGCGGGATTAGCACCTTGCCCAAATACAGGGGTGGGGTTACTCTGCTGTCCAAAGGCCGGGGGAGGATTGGGTTTGGCCCCAAAAGCTGGGGTCTGGGAAGGTGTGGCTGGGAAAGGAGATCCGAAAGATGATCCAAATGAAGGAGTTTGGTTGTTCCCGAACCCAGCAGAGGGAGCCGAGCTGAAGACAAATGGGGTTGGACCTGCAGATGGAGCTGTGATTGAAAAAGAATAGAAAACATAAATACATATGTCGATCATAAACAAATTGATCACTTATAATACCTGATGTAGATACTTCATAGTTACAGACCTGATGAGGAGGCAGCAGAGGGCGCTGCTGCACCAAAATTGAAGGTGGGAGCAGCAGCAGGAGCAGCTCCAGCAGCAGCAGCAGCAGCATTGGTTGGAGAACCGAAGATGAAAGGCTGAGCTGGAGCAGGAGCAGAAGTGGAGTTGAGAGGCGCAGCTGAGGGGGCAGGTGGCTGGCTGTCCTGACTCTGGCCAAAGATGAAGTTTTTAGCTGGAGGAGCGTCACTGGAGGCCGCAGCAGGCTGACCAAACATGAAAGTGTTTGGAGCTGCAGAGGGAGCTGGGGCCGGTGTGGAGGTGCTGCTGCTGCTGCCGCTGGCAGCACCAAACAGACTGGGAGTTGGGGTGGAGGACGATGAAGTGGTGGAGTTGGTGACATTGGTTGGTTTATTTGCCAGGAAAGAAAAAGCTGGTTTTGGAGCAGCAGAAGCAGGTTCTGTGCAGGACGAGATCATGACAGAGATCAATAAAACAGCAGAAAACAGCAATTAAACCCACAGTATCCTTTTAAGGCACCAACACACATGTCATAGCAATGAAAGACAAACAGATGTTTCCAGGTTATCACACATCCTGAGGTCTTAGTAATACAATGAGAGAGTAGAATGTTTTTTTAAGCACAAAAGACCTACACAATCACAGGGTGAAAACATGGATACTTTGGCATCTTCTTGCAAGAAAAAGATTAAAATTTTATAAAATGAATCTACTGAACTGCAGCAAGATACTGAATCCCAGAATTGCTTAAGCATTTTTTATGATAGTAAGAGAAACTGCATGAATGGTCTAGAAACCACAATCTACCCAAAGTGCTGTTAAGTGACAGAAATTTAAGTACCTGCAGCACTTTTTCCAAAAGCGAAGGTAGGCTTTGGGGCTTCTGAAGATGATGTTTCATTCTTTTCTGTTGACTTTCCAAAAGTGAAAGCAGGTGGAGGTTGCTCTGTTGGAGCATTGGGCTTGCTGAACGAAAAGCCACCAGTGAAGGCCTGTGTAGTATCTGCATCCTTACTTGCAGCAGCAAAGAGGAAGGTAGACGGAGCAGAGGAGGTAACCGCTTCCTTCTTTTCCTCTGGCTTACCAAAGGTAAATGTAGGAGCAGCGGGTTCTTTAGCCGCCTGTGAGGACCCAAAAGTAGGGACTACTTGTGGTGCACTGGTGGCCAAACTCGGCTCCCCCAATCTCCCAAATACAGACCTGGCTGTGGCTGCTGAGATGCTGCCTGAGCCGGTGTCTGTATATGCTGTGTCACTCAAAGATGTTTTACTGTTACTATTTTCTTGAGAGGAGGGAGGCGTGAAAGTAATGGAGGATGAGGAGGTTGTCGAGGTGACTGATGTTTTCTCTTCGGGTTTTGAAAGTCCAATTGTGAAGCCTCCCTTAGAAGAGTTGCCTTCTGTGCTAGAAGATCCAGTTCCAAACGCTATCCCACCGCTAGCTCCAAACTTAAACCCAGAACCTGCAGCAGGCTGGTCTGACTTTTTATCATCACTAGAGGCAGCCCCAAATTTAAAGCTCTCAGACGAGCTGCCAAATTTGAACCCTGATGTAGCAGTAGTGTCTTTAGAAGTGGTTTCTGATGAGGAGCTTCCAAACGGTACTCCAAATTTGAATCCACCTGATGAAGAAGACGAGGTCGACTCAGTGAGCGAGCCTCCAAATTTGAAACCCCCTGCTCCAGATGCTGAAGTACTGTCTGA